CAGCAGCAAGCAGCAGCAGCAACCAGCAGCAGCAACCAGCAGCAGCAGCAACCAGCAACCAGCAGCAACCAGCAACCAGCAGCAGCAGCAACCAGCAGCAGCAGCAAGCAGCAGCAGCAACCAGCAGCAGCCAGCAGCAGCAACCAGCAGCAGCAACCAGCAGCAGCAGCAAGCAACCAGCAGCAGCAACCAGCAGCAGCAGCAGCAACCAGCAACCAGCAGCAGCAACCAGCAAGCAGCAGCAACCAGCAACCAGCAGCAGCAGCAACCAGCAACCAGCAGCAGCAACCAGCAACCAGCAGCAGCAGCAACCAGCAACCAGCAGCAGCAGCAGCAGCAGCAACCAGCAACCAGCAACCAGCAGCAACCAGCAGCAGCAGCAGCAGCAACCAGCAGCAACGAGCAACCGGCAGCAGCAAGCAGCAGCAGCAACCAGCAGCAGCAGCAGCAGCCGCAGACATGCTACCTTTCGTCCACCTCCGTCTCCTCAAGTGCTATTAGGTTGGAGGCCATCGCTAGAAATTAATTGGGTTGGAGGCAATTGCTGATAGGTTGGAGGCCATCGCTAGTAGGTTGGAGGCCATTGCTATTTGGTTGGAGGCCATTGCTATTTGGTTGAAGGCCATTCAAAGAAACAAAGGTCAATCATTTTCGAAGTCAGGTCGAGTACCCCTTTGCGAAGCCCAAGCCACGCCCAAAGAAGGACATGCCAAAGCTTCCAGGTGCACAGCTTGCCTGATATGGTCGTTTCAGCACAGAAGCTTGGGGAGACAGACAAAGAAACAGAGGCAAAGACAAGCCATCAACGTCTTTCAGAAAGGTCACCATGGGATATGCACTTTCTGAATGTTGGGTGAGCTAGCAGACAACGTCAGGGTCACTTCACATAGGACATAGGGTGATCATGTTGAGGATGAAACCATTTGGATTTCGATTGATGTTCGCGTTGTTCAATTTCCATCCGCAGTATGGTCTTGCTGACAGAACACGGTCTGGAATGAAAGAACGTGTACTGCTGTCCGGCTTATGAGTTCCAATGTGTGCCGAGTGTCCAGCTTGTGCTTGTTTTTTTCTAGAGAGGAAGACACATGGGAAGTGATGAGAAATGCTAGACCTTTTAGAGAAACGTGGTCTGATCATGCTCGAGTCGGGCTTTGATGGTTTTTTCCTGTCAAAGGCAAAGCTCCAGCTACACCAGGACAGAAAAAGAGACTGTCGTGTTTTTGCTTTTAAGACGAAGTGCTTCGATGTAGTAGCAAGAAGCTAGGCGGTGGAGGCCATCGCTCTTAGGTTGGAGGCCATCGCTATTAACAAGAGAAGCTACTAGTAGCTTCTTGTTACTGTACTACTAGTAAGGCACTTGTTACTAGAAGCCATGCACTTGTTCCTAGTAGCTTCTTGTTAGTAAGGCCAGGAGCGCCCCGAACGCGTCCTTGCTACGAGTTAAGAAGGAACGCCTGGTGCGCCCCCTGGAGCGCCTGGCGCGCCGCCCGGTGCGCCGCCCGGTGCTCCACCGTCACCTGGCGCCCCGTGAGGGCGTCGATGCGGCGACGGCGAGTCGCTGGGCACCCACGGCGTTCGGACGAAGTCCGAAGAGTAGACGAGTAGCTTCTTGCCACTAGTAGCGATGGCCTCCACCTAGCTTCTTACTACTAAGGCACTTAGCTACTAGTAGCTTCTTGCTTCTAGTAGCGATGCACCTTGTTACTAGTAGGTTCCGAGCATCTTCGGTAGACTGGGTGGACCGAGCAAAAGACTTGGAGACTCACTGGGACGAGTCGGAGCAAAAAGACTGTGTTCGATGGCAAGAACACAAGAGCACAACAAACAAGCAATCCTCGAAAATACCTTGGAAGCAGGAAACGAAAGACATGAAATACGGTTTAAAGGTCTGATGAAACAAAAGCGAAAAGCAGAAAGGACAGGAAGAAAGATCTGAGCCAAAAAGCAAGACACAAATGGTCTAAAGGTCTCAGAAAAGTGAATTGGAAAATAGAAACACAAACGAAAAACGGACAGAGGTCCAAAGGACGAGCAAAAAGAGGTCCAAAGGTTTAAGGAAAAAAACTGACATGAAAGAACAACACGGTTCTAACGGGCTGAATAAAGAAACCGAAAGAAACGAGAACAGAAGGACAGAAATGGCATGCCTCAGGATCTTGAAATAGAACCGATAAGAATTCAGCAAGAAACATACAGAAAGGTCAGAAGGCCCAAAGGAACGCGGAAAGAAAAGGAGGAAGAACGAAACAGGAAAGATCACAGACAGGAACAAGAAGACCAAAGAATGACACACAATATATTAAACCTGTTTAAAGGTCGAAAGAAACAAGAATTGAAAAAGGAAGAAAGGAAGACAGACGAGAGATAATAAGGTTCTTAAGGTCTAAAGGTCTAAAGACGGAAAAGAAGACAGACACCAATGGGCAGCAAACAACGGAATGAACAGGCCTAAAGAAGAAGAAAACAGATTGATAAAAGAGATAAAGAAAAGACGGAAGAAAAAAGACAAGAAAAAAGGAAAAACGACAGAAATCACAGGTGGACAATCCAAAGAGAAGAAAAGGAAAGACAAGAACGTACTACTAACAAGAGCGCTTTTGCAAGCATCTGCATAGCTGTACACTTCTTTCCGAACGACAATTCATGTGCTTTTGTGTAGTTTGTCCTTTATCCGCTTGATGCCATTCTTGAGCACCCAAAGTGGCTTTTCCCACGACTGGCACATTGTGACTCCCCAGATTGCGCCTCTGGGATTTGATGGTGAAGAGGGTCGAGAACAATAGTGACAATTCGAGAAGACACTTTTCTTCTTTTTTGGACCGCTTCTAGGTTGGAGGCCATAGCTAGTAGGTTGGAGGCCATCGCTCTCGATTGGTGTTCTGTTGTGAAGGCAACGCCAACACGAAGCGCCAAGTCGCGTCCCTGTTTCCAATTTGTAGTGACCTCCAAGACCAAATCAGCCAATATGGGAGTGTTTTTTCCCGAATGCGTTTCGAAGGGTTCCCCAAAGTGACGTCAGGAGGTCTGGGGGCTCCGTGTTCGTTTTGTGTGGTCTCGTATCTGGGGGTCTCGCCGTGATCTTCTGGACCACCTTTGGCCTTTTTTTTTACATTAGTGTCATTAGTGTGTGTTTTTTCTTCAACATATTCTCTCAGATCCTTTTTGATTCCCAGACTTTTCGTTCTTTAGACAGTTCTTCTTTCCTCTCCCTTCCAGTTTCGCCCAGGAGCATGGGGAGCGCACTTGCCACTGATACAATCCCCGTGCTGGTCACAATGGCGGGGCGCCGCATGCGGTGCTGCTCCAACCTAGTAGCTTCTTGTTACTAAGAATGCTCCTAGCAGCGCTGCCAGGAGCCCCTAGTAGCTTCTTGTTAGTAACTTCCATTCCTCAGCCCTTTGCAGGTTGATGTGCACAATGCCAAGGCTCAGGAGACAAAGTGGATTTGTCAACAAGGTCTGTGTAGAGCAATGTAGAACATGAAACTACTACACGTTGCCTTGTGCGAACCCTAACCTTTCTGCGCTGCTAGCTACTTGTAAGCTACAGTACTAGCTACAGCTATTGAATGGACAGAAAGAATTGAGTCAAGCGAAAGGGAAGACATTTTCCGCCATTCTCCCAGGACATGTTCTATTTCTGCAACGTCGGCAGTGGAGGTGCTGCCACAAAGGTCATCGGCCGTTCTCAAACCCTGTCTGTGGAAGTTGGAATCACTACTGTGGCAAGCTCAGATCTCTCACAACTCTTTCCAATTAGGTTTTTGGCGCCTACCCCTTGGGCGCCTGCCCCTTTTACCGCGTTTAAGAACTGGCGCTTGTTGCACGTTTCTGCGAGGTCTTGACGCTCATTGTGTACGAGTGTCCAGAACCGGTCTGTAGCCAAAGCCATGAAATCATAAACATATGTTCCTAGAAGGTTCGAAGGTTCTTTTTCGCACAGAACTGCTGTCAATTCCATCTTCTGTATCATGGTCATCGTCATCGCCATCACCATCAACTTCATCCTCATCACCCCCACCATCATCATGATCTTCTTCACCTGGTCATTTTTCTTTCTTTCTTTGCTCGGTACAAGTACTGCCCGCAGGTCAGCCAAGTACACGAGTCGCAGTCGAAACCAGTAAACAGGTTTGAATAGAAGAGACAACCACGAAGGAAGCCTCAAAGAAAGACGGATCGTGATCCGTGCGCAAAAGCCTTTTCACACCTAGACGCCTCAGGGCAACCAGGAGCGATCGGACGCTACTAGGGGCTCCTGGCCTTGCTACTAGGAGCCATCTCACTCATCTTTTCCTTGCTCAAACACTGGAGTCTTGCTTAGGTAGCTCAGCCCTGCTGCGCCTCCGAGTGGTTAATGCGAGATCAAACAGAACAGATTTAACATTTTTTGGTGGCATTTGCCTGATCTATTTTGTTTGAGCCTGGTATGCTCTCGTTGCGGCTGTTTTGGCTGTGGATCATGGGCCTGGTTCTTGCAGGTCTCACTTTGATCCGAATTTTGGCGAGCTTTGTTCTTCTATAAGCCTGAAAATGCACGTCTCGAGTCTGCAGAGCACTGAAATCCTTCAAGCTCAAAGTTCCAAGAAAACTCAAGTTCAAAGTTCCAAGATCTGAAAGCGAAAAGGTGCCTGACCGCCGAGCGCATAACAGTGCAAAGGTTGGCGATCTTGCTTTAGTTGAAAGTCAGGGACAGGTACTCACAGCAGGTACGTCTGGTTGATCAGGCCAGATATAGCACGCAACTTGGCCCTCTTCGTTGGATCACCGGTCAAGCTCGTGCGTGATCCCCCTGTGAAGAAGAACCATTAAAGAAGCCATCAGGCTACCCGTGAATCCAGGGTGTGCACACGCACACACACACACACACATCATCACACATCATGCCATGATTCCCATCATTGGTCTTTGCTGCAAAAGCCCTGTTGCTACATTCTTGGACGCCAAGCGGACAAATACATTTCTAGCCTGCGCGCGCTCTTATACACTTCAGGTCTTCACACCTGAAACAGCCCGTTGCCTTGGAGCCCGGAGCCCTTGTGGAATGTGTGACGGAGCTACCACCTTAGTCATATAATCATATACTTCCCAGCAGCTTCGCTACTCCGACTGTTCAGGGCCTACCCCACCCCGCCCCCCAAAAATACACAACAAACACATTGTGTTCTCTGAGATGCCTCGAGATCCTCAGCGCACTGAGGTGCTTCGTATTCCCATGGAACGGCTTGCTGAACGATACAGTTCAGGCAAGGAAACTGGGCCTGTTTTCTTCTTTTTGTTTCATAATTTTTCATCCTGTTGTTCCTTTTCCCAAACAACAGATTGTATTTGGGAACGTTTGACCAGGCATTTTCCAGCAGTGGTTCAACTTGGATACAAAGAGCTGCTCCAAGACACTGGAAGCAGCTCATTCAAACATTTGGAAGGCTGAATGCTGTATCTTAAGGATGGACCCTCGCATGCCTGCTGGCGATTTGCAGTCCTTGGTCACAAAGTTTGAGCAGGCAGTGCATGTCATGATGCGTGTGCGACGAGAAAGGTTTCGGATTCAAGTCTATTCGTGCCCAACCTGGGTCAAGGCATACGCAGATTCTGTCAACGATATCTACCAGTGATCCTGCGATATTTGAGTCGCACTGCTTGCAGCAGAGATTGCTACTAGGAGCAAAGGGCATCGCTACTAGGAGCAAGGGCCTTACTACTAGGAACAAGAAGATAGTAGAAACAATCAGTAACTAGAATTTAATGAGAATCAATTTCATTGCTTCGGACTGATAGGTGAAATTCGAATCGTGAACATGTAGGAGCAAAGGGCATCGCTACTAGGAGCAAAGGGCACCGCTACTAGGAACAAGGACGCTACTAGGGGCTCCTGGCCTTACTACTAGGAGCAAAGATGCTACTAGGAGCGTGAACATGTAGAAGATGTGCACAGTGTTTGCCAGGCCGAAGGTTTGCCTTTCCGTGATTGGCTCTTCCTTTGAGGCAGAAGTGACCGCTTAGCACATCTTCCCTCCACCAATTGGGAAGGAGTTCCATGACTTTTCTTTGGTTGTTAAGTGGGCTAGAAAAGAAAAGACAGTTTGATCAGGTTCGATGCTGCGTTCCCTTTGGGCTACCGGTCGCATTGACAGGTCCAGCGAGGCTCCAGGTCAACCTTTGGCATCTTTGTGGGTGAGGCGTGGAATGGGGACGATGTATTTTGTTTCGTTTGTTTCGTTTACGAGCCATGGCCTCCGACCAGCAATGGCCTCCAAAGTGTCCGTTTTGTGATGTGTGATTTCGTTTGTTTGTGCTGCTTCTTTCTCTTGTTTCATGTGCGATGCTTTGCCCTGTGCTGCTGACGCGGTGAAGTGGCAGGTGCGATCTTATTTGTGCGGTGACACCTATATAGTGGTAGGAATTTCTGGTGTGGTGAAGTGTTGCCTCGTGAAGTCTAATTTGTATTGCGGAGAGTGTGATGTGATGATTTTTGATGTTTTTGGTGTCACGCCCACTCGCGACCCGCAGCGGCGCGCGCGTTTGGTGGAAATCATATTTCGGTTGTTGGGGGGGGTGGGGGGGGGTTCAGTTACGTCGTTCAGTTACGTCGTTCACGGAACGTCGTCACGGAAACCAGCGGGTTCAGTTACGTTCTTACGTCGTCGTCGATACGCCGATAGCACCGCAGTTTTGGCAGCTCAATGCGTTCGTTGTCCCTTCGTTGTTGTGTGTCTTTGTGTGTTGTGATTCTTCTTCGTTTGACTCGTCGTGACTCGTCTTTTGTCTGAGTTGTGCGGAAAGACAGTTGTGCGCAAGATGCCACGGAAAGACTGACGTCCTTGTAACCTGAGTTGTGCGAAGAAAAGTCAGTTTGCAACTTTTTGGGGGTTGGACAAAAACGTACACTTGTAAATCCCCGTAGAATTTCAGATCAACGTCCAAAAAAGGGGGGAATTGTGGAGCGAAATGAACATGCGAACATATGGGACAACATTGAAAACATTGTGAAGGACCATGGATGCATTTCAAATGACCTGAGTGCTGTGTGCACGACTACGCGGGTCACTCGGGGTCGTGTTACCATGTTTTTGAGTGTCGCGTGGTAATTTGCAATGTGGCCAAGTGCGGCTTGGTGATGGTGAAATACTAGTAGCGTCCTTGCTCCTAGTAGAAATGCCCTTTGTTACTAGTAGCTTCTTGTTCCTAGTAGTAAGGCCAGGAGCCCCTAGTACGTCTTTGCTCCTCGTAGCGATGCCCTTTGCTACTAGTATAGTGTGATGATTTGTGACAGGACATCTCTACTTTGCCTAACAGCATTGTGGTGGCTAGATTTTCGAGCAGAGGCCTCGCCCTGCAGGGTACCACACAGTGCCTGGCCCAAACACGACAACAGAAAACAAGCATTGACACACTATCACAGTATCACAACACCAAACATAACCACAACACACTACGCTTGACAATACACACTGGCAAACGCGACAACAGAGAGCAACAATGATGCACATAACGACAAATAGCCACAACAACACTTGACAATAGACACGGGCAAGCACGACAACAGACAATGAAGCCATAATGGCAACATGTGGCAGGGTGAAGAAGACAAAAAAACACAAAATACTTGACAACCGACAGGACATCAGGACAAACACAATGTCCAGGCAACAGACAATGACACGCACGCACGCCCGCACGCCCGCACGCACGCACAAATGTACCCACAAAACACCGTGGCCCCGGGATGCCCCGCGCCCCGCAGAGGCAAACTGTTTAAAAGGCAACTCTGCCCCCCTGCCAGGAGCCCCTAGTAGCGTCCTTGCTCCTAGTAATAAGGCCAGGAGCCCCTAGCTTCTTGTTCCTACTAGCAATGGCCTCCAACCTAGGAGCGATGGCCTCCAACTTTCGGCTATGCCTCACCTGGCCAGGTTCTTTTCAGTGCTACATAGATGTTCATATTGTTGCATGCCTGCTTGGGTGGTGATAGCTGGAAGTACAGTGACTTTGCAAGAAAGCTCACATGCGTTTCTCTACAACCCTCCGCTTGTTTTGGTACTTGTGTTCTAGATGTCTACTTGCCTGTACTGTCTTCATACAAAGCATTGCAGTTGTGAAGCTTCTCAACCCCTAAAGACTTCTCCACTTTCACCTTTTTTCATCATGAAAGAACTCGAAAACAATAGTGCCATACTAGTAGTAACAAAAAGCTATTAGTAACAAGTGCCACGCTAGTAGCAACAGGTGCCTTACTAGTAGTAACAAGAAGCTATTAGAAACAAGTGCCACGCTACTGTTGGAAGAATTTGTGCATTTCGGAGTGGTGGAACTGGTAGCTTCCTACTGTTGGTGAAGTGCCATGGTATCACTGGCAGTGAAGAGGCATGTCAGAGCCCTCGAAAACATCCACTGTTGGCGTGTTCTTGTTTGTTCCTTTGTTCCTTGTAGGAGGCGTCAGTTCCCAAAATTTTCCCCAAACCAGACCTGTTCAAATGCCTACAAGGTTTTCCTTTGTGTGCTCAGGATGTAAAGACGCAAGCGGGGCCCGACCTCAAGGCGAGGCGATCAGAAAACAAGGAACATCGGTACGAACTTCCCTTTAACGGGGGCCTTTTGTCTTTCCTTCCTGTTTTTTTCATTTGTCAGATGGCCTAGAACTGTAAGGATTAAGTGTTCAGAGTGGAACGGGAGGCTCTCATTGCCTCTCACAAGCAGTTGCTTGGCACAGAAGAGCTCAGCCGGTGTCCAAAACTACTTGGTGTAAGATTGTGGTTCATCTCAGCACAGGCCTAGGGCATGGCAGTTGGAAGGTTGGCCAGCAACATGACCTTGTTTCATGATTGTGTTCATTGCTACTAGGTTGGAGGCTGTTCATTCTTGTTTTCGATTTCCCAAGGCAAGCTGCGTACGTTGATGCGCTTCACGAAGAACTTCGCCGCTTAAACACCCCGCATCAAAGCTGAATTTGTTTTGACTGTTGTTTGTGCACATCAAGAAGAAAAGTAATCACAGATAGTTTGGTCATGTATCATAAGCAAACAAGAAGCTACTAGAAGCAAAGGACATCGCTACTAGGAGCAAGGACGCTACTAGGGGCTCCTGGCATCGCTACCAGTAGCATTCTTATTGCTAGTAACAAGAAGCTAAACCTCTCGTTTGTTGGAACTTTGCACAGGTCCTACCGACCCTTGGCGGCGGGCATGGGGCAGTCACAGCCTTTGGCTACTTTTGACAGCAGAGCAGACAGTCATTCCTTGTTTGTAAGGTCGATCGGTCCAGGAGCAGAACGGAACTCAGCAAGAAAAGCTCAGATTCATTATATTCAAAGCAGTAAAGCTTGAGCTAGTATTATGCACTTCGAGTTGAGCAAGCTGAACCGACTGGTTTGGCATGTCGGGTTTGATGTTTTCGTTGTTTCAATTCATCATTTTGACTAAGCCTGGGTCCTTTGTGGTGCCCAAGGGCAGCATGGGAGCCGTGTACTAAGAGACTCGAAAGCTTAGTCCAACAAAAGCGCAAAAGGCCACAAAGGCAACACGTGAGGAATTCCAACGATTTCACAGAGAGAGGACATGAGAACAACACATCGAACACACTTGAAAACACATTGAACACTACTAGGAACAAGGACGCTACTAGGGGCAACACATTGAACACGTCTTGGGGGCATGATTTCGCCATTAGGGGCATGTATCCAGGCACCAGGCGCACCAGGTGGAGGCTATGCGGGTGGCGCCTTTGGTGGGCTGGGAGCCCAAGGATCGAACCGCAAAGCGAAGCAAACCGCGATGGGAAACCGAAGAAAGCATCCTTGCTCCTAGTAGCGATGCCAGGAGCCCCTAGTAGCTTCTTGTTCCTAGTAGCGATGCCAGGAGCCCCTAGTAGCGCCCTTGCTCCTAGAGACATGAAACGTTAGTTGTGGATTTGCAGATTTGCCTTTTTGCAGATGCGTACACCGGGGTTCACTGTGGTACACAGTGGTCCAGACACAACCAGCTGCTCTTCCGGCAGTGTGTGCAGTTTGTGAGCAAGTTCTGGGATTAAAAGTTCAAAACCAACTTTGGAGAGAAAAAGCTGGCTTCAAGAAATCAACATACAGATGAATGTATACATGTCTTGGATGAAAGCATTTTAGCAAGGACGCTACTAGTAGCTCCTGGCCTTACTACTAGTAGCAAATAGCTACTAGTAACAAGGGCATCGCTACTAGGAGCAAAGGGCATGACTACTAGTAGCTCCTGACTCACATCCAATGAATCAATTGGATGGCATGTTGCGAGCTGAGCCGAGGCCTGTCCCGTCATCCATGGTAGCTTGGCGCTGTAAGTACTGTAAGTAGGACACAGTTGTGACTTCACAAGTGAATACCAAGACACAAGTTGTGCTCTGAAGCATCACACAAACACCTTAGCCAAGATGACAGCGTGGAACGCCCCTGAATAGTTGAAACAGCGATGTTTGATCTGAGGCACCTCACTGAAGTGCTGAAGATCTGTATTGTAGCATCAAGTGCAGGGCATAGACCTGCCAGAAGAATCTGCCGAATGCTTTCACTTCAAAGGCTGGTCATCATGTCGCTCTTCCTGCTGGAAGTTGCACCACGCCCCATGTAGCCAACTGCAGATAGGGTTTTGCCCGGAAGACGAGCCACCAGCAATCGTTCATCGTTTCATTTCAAGTTGCAAGGCTGATGGACCAAAAATGGGAGCAAACTGGACAGTCGCCCTTTGAGTGCTATCAAAAGATCAAAAGGGTTCAATGTTTGCCTAGGTTAGAATCACGGGACTTATGTGCATCATACTTCTGCAAACGCATTAGTTTTTTTGCAAGCCTGTGCAGGTGCATCGTTTGTTGAACTGTGGCATGCTTTGTTGTCTCGAGTTCTTGTGCTTAAGTGGCCCAAACTACGAAAGAGGGTGCCCAAAGCGGCACGAGGAAGGATGTCGCGTTCAAGACGAACGGTCGTCCCAATCGACAAGGCTATTTTAGAGGCCCTTTCAAAAGTGGAAGATGTGGATGGGCTATCAGAAAAAGAGATTTGTGAGAACTTGGAAGTCATGTACGACATTTTGCAAGCTTGCGACCCAAAGCAGGTCACAAAGTACTTTACACAGGATCATCCAATACTCTTTGATGCGATCCTTACACTAGCGCGGATTGATTTGCTGCCCTTGGATGTGAATGTTCTTTCTGTCTTGGAATTTGTGAATGAGTACGGCTTTTTGAAATTGACCTTGGATCCCCATGACACCGTGAAAGTGAGCAACGAGAGGCTTCAAGTGACGTCTTTTGACTTCGCATCGGTGACCCTTCCGGAGCTTCCCTTCGGAGCTTCAAGGGAATTGACCTTGGCCTTCTACTTCACAGTGGATGATTTCGGCTCGGACGAAAGTGATGAAAAACGCTTTGGCTTTCAATTCAATTCACTTCGGGTGTACTTCTCGCCCGAGCAAGATGATGCTGGAATCGACATGTTCCGCAAAATCTACCTGGATTGGGGCAAAGAGAGCCAAGAACCACAGTGCTTCCAGATGAATTTCTCGTTTTTGGAAGGTGAGCGTGTCCGATGTATCTTGAACTTGTCTCAAGATGGCATCAGTTGTTTGCAGGTGTGTAAAGTGGGTGCCTTTGCTCACAGTGTTTATGTAATGCCCTTGGCGCTCACTCTCACAGACTTTTGTCATCCAACTCGCACGACCATTGCTCAGCTATCCATATTCATAGAGGCACCTCGCTGCAAGAAGCTTTTTTCACTGGAGAGCATAGCTCTGCTTCAGGGCACATATGCGGCACTTGACCAGGAAGTGGACATTTGCTGGCCGAAGCTGCAGAAAGTTTGCTTCCGGCTCATCGACCTCATGTCCCCCTTTATGAGACGTACGCGTCACAAGGATTCACATTTGGATCTTCGAGCTCGGGTCATTGCTGCTGTTTTGCACTTGCTTTTGGCACTCAGTGAGTCCGGTGTACGGACATACAGTCAGGATTCAATCACTTCGATCCTGAAACATATTGACCGTATCGTGCTGAGGACACAAGACATCTCTAAGGTGGTCCCCTCATTGCGATATTTCATTGACTTGCTGGAATACTACGTTGGTCTTGAAAACACCAACGTTTTTGAAGAGGAAAAGGCATGGCTCGTCCAGCTGATAGGGCACTGCTGTGCCGATGACGAACACCTTTGTGCTGAGCTCCTAAGGTACAAGGAGGGTTCGCTGCTGATCTCACTCTCCAGGATGTTGATGGATGATAGCAAAATTGCGTGGAAGGAAGTGCTGGTGCTGCGTGAAATGCCAAATCATGATCCTCGACACATCCATCCGATTTTGATGATGCAGCGATCTGCACTGTTTGCATTGTCTTGCTTGATGCAGCCGCAGCAGATTGCGGATCTGGTCATGCGCGCAATTGACTGCAAGCTTGAGCGCCGCAGTATTGGAACGTTGGACAAGGAAACCATCACGAACTTTTTTGCAGACCAAGAATCGAGGAAAACCTACACGATGTCCTTTGTGATCGTCATGAGAACAAACCAGTGCAGACGTTCTGATGAACCAGATTTCCAACCGCTGGTCTTGGGAGCAGAAACAAATTTGCCAAGTGTGTACATCAATTTACAGGACTTCAGGTTGTGGATTCAAGTCTCCACTGTTTCAGAGAAGCATGAGACTTTTGTTTGTCAGCAAGGCTTGGATTCGCTGCCCCCGGGACAAATTGTCGTTACCATCGTGGTGAACGGCTCATCGATCCAAGCATACTTGAATGAGCAGGCACAACTGCCGAATTCAAAGAAGTTGAGTGATGACCCGAAGACCCTTCAGCATGGCTCCATCTTCAGTGGAAAGATGCAACAGCTCATGCCCAAAGGTGAGGACGGAAAGTTTCCAGTCTTTGATGGTGTGCTTACACTTCTAAGAGCTAGTCAGCATCCAGCTGCCCCACATGAAGTTGACAACTCAATCCGTGCAGCACAGAAAGAGGCAAAGCATATTCTTACAAGGAAGAAAGAGCGAAATGAAGGAGTTGCGGATTCGGTCTTCAATGTGACTGAAGTCTCCTCGGTCTTGTTGCAGTTCATCAGACATCAATTCCATGATGATCCAGCCACTCGGCGTGAAAAGCGAAGGCTAGGAGAATTGGATCTCGTTGATCCAACCACAACTCTTTGGATCCTTTGCAATTGTGGACTTTGTGCTCAACTTCTGCCTGAGTCTCACCCCAAATTTGTGGGATTACTGAAGACGCCTTTGCAACGGGCAATTTTCTTGGCTGCTCTTGTGGCGGACAACTTTGAAAAGACTGAAGTGCATGAGCTGCAGGTTGGGTTCCCCCCGGACTATACCACTGAGGCGATTGCACGACCCAAACCGCCAGATCACTCTGTCCTCATTGCAGCTGCAGTTTTCATCAACCACTTGTTGCAATCACCACGCGGCCGCACAGTGATGAGCGAAGATACATCTGCGTTGTTGGTCGTGCGCTTGATTCCTTTGAGTGGAGTGCAATTGGATCTTTCAGGCTATGTGCAGAAGTCCTTTCGCACTCTTACGCCAAAGATTTGTGCACTGATGCTGCAAGCACGCCAGGATTCTGCCACAACGTCACTGGCTTTGGATGCACTCTTCAAAAAGAGCGTCAGCGAAGAGGGGATGATCTTCAAAGAAGATTTACAACATTTGCTACTGTCACAAGGGCTAACGGCCCTCATGAACATCATGCATGGCTCAGCAATAAGCCAAAAGAAGTCGAACACCCGCTTGCAGTCCTTGCAGATTGACGTCATGCACACAAATGAGGCCATGCGTGCTGCAGAACAAGCAAAGGCCCACGATATGGAAAGCATCCTTGCCATGCACCGAAGGCACTTGGAGAATTGCCAAAATGAGATGTCCAAAATTAAGACAGAAATGGAAGATCTGGAGCATCTTTCAGCCATCTGCCAGAAACTTCAACGTCAGCTCTTCCTGCAGCTGCATCACATCATGGACGAAATCATTCAGGGCTTGCCTTTGCGCCCGGCTGACTTGCGCTTACTCACTCAAATGGTAAACATTGCATCCGGTGTGCCTTACACATCTTTCTACCGCAGTAGCGAGCTCTATGCACAGAAGATGCTGGAAACTGAGCTCTCAGAAGGCATGCCTTGGGAAGTATGGCTCGAGTATTCTTATCCCGGAGCATCCAACTTCTCTGTAGCTGAAGTAATGAAGCTATTCCCCTTGAGACCTCGAATGAGAGGGCCTCGCAGCACAGTTCTTCTGAATGTCATGGAGGAGGCCAACCTGAGGGATGAGCGAAGCATTTTGGCTCCAAAGCTACGGAATGGAGCCTCCTCCAGCACCGAGCATGTCTTCGTCCACATCGTGGGATCCTCGGAGAAATTGCAGGCAGATGTCGAGGTGAGACTGTTGCCGGACTTCGACCCATCCCTCCGTCTTGCACAGGAGCATCTGGCTTTTGAAGGTCGAATCATTGAGTTTGTCATGGCAGTCTTGAAGAATAACGAGCTGCCACGAGATGCATATGCAAATGCTTGCGTATTGCTTGCATCGCAAGCAAATGATATGAGGGCAGCATCATGCATTCCACACCTGGCAACTCTTCTGGCAACATGCTGTCGGGATCCATGGGTTCTTCGTGTGATCTGTGGAGAAGTGCTTCAAAGCATTTTGTACCCAGACAAACATTTGGCGCCAATACTGTATCTCGCAGGAACAGCAGCTAGCACTCCTTTGGAGACTCGCTTGTCTGTGCTTCAGGTTTGCAGTTATGTGGTTCATCCCTCAATGACTCCAGAAGAAGGCTTCTTGCAATTCCTTGAGAATGTCTACCGACAACGCATAGAGCTTCCAAGAGACGATGAACTTTTGCGGCCGTCTCTAGGAGAAGAGCACAAGAGAGCATCCGCGGTGACCTCACTGATGAGCTCTTTGCACAAGCAGCTTCCTCGCTCTTTCCAAATTGCTTTCTTCAACTTGGCAGAAGCCATTTTGGCCAGGGATGCAGGAGAATGTGCGGACCTCATCAATGAGAACCAGTGGAATGATGGTGCTGTAGTATTTGCAGAACAGACTCCCGGCAAGTTTGCTTTTTGGAGAGAATTCTATTGGTTTCTCATGTATGGTCACCCAGACGTGCAAGATGCTGCAGTGCGTCTTTTGCTCATTCTGTTTTGGCAACAGAGTGTGAATCTCATTAGCTTGATTTGCAGCACGCAAGATTCGGGACAACTTTCTGGTGAATATTGGTTGGTTGTGCCGCTGATGCGGCTTCTGGGACACAAGAACGATGATGTTGTGAAGGACATTCTTACTCTTTTTACACCTCTAGCCCAAAGTCAAAGCGAAAATGACGATGACGATCTTGACGAAGCTTCAGAGGATAAATTGTTGAGACTTGCCAAGACGATGATCTCAGAAGCCAATCGATCCGAGATCTTGAAAAAGGCCATGGTGCAAGTCAGCCCTCGCTTCATCGTCCGAGCCATGGATTGGCCATGTGATGTACGGGATTTTGTCCTGCAAATCGTGTTGACACGGTCAGTGATGCAAGAGTTGATCGTTTCTCCTGAACTAAACACCGAGTTTTGGGATGTGATTATCCACCTTTTGCGAGAGTGCGGTTTGGCCGGACAAGCTTGGGTCTCGACCACCTTGAAGGAGCTTGCCCGAATTGCAGAAAAGGTTGTAGCTT